GTGGCCCCGGGTGGCTCTGAGTGGCCCCGGGTGGCTCTGGGTGGCCCCGGGTGGCTCTGAGTGGCCCCGGGTGGCCGCCGCCGCACCGGGCTGACCGTGGGGGCTCCGGTGTCGCCGCCCCGACGGCCCCGAGGTGGCACATGGACCGAGGAATCGGGCGGCCCGGGGGTCCAGGGCTCCGGCTGCCGGTGGGATCGGCCGAAACGGGGCCGGTTCGTGCCTCCCGCTGCTCCCCACGGGGTGTCCCCGCATGGGGGACGAGCTGGTGGCTCCCCGACTCTGGACCTGGGGGTGGCACGTCCCGGATCCCTCGAGAAGCGCAGAGCCAAGATCCCCATGGGAACGGGAGAGGGTATCCCGGGTCCCTTGGGGATTCCTGGGAGGGGATAAAAGTGATCCCAGATCCCCAAGGGGGGAGTTAGAACTGATCCCGGGTCCCTTCTGGATCCCTGTGGAGGATCTAGAACTGATCCCAGATCCCTCATGGGTCCGTGGGGAAGAGTTAGAACTGATCCCAGGTCCCTTGTTGGGACATCCAGTGGTCCCTGAGGGATCTGGGATCTGCTCTAGGACACCCCAGCAGAGATCCCCAAGGGATGTAGGGCAGGCTCTGGGGCGGCTGCTGGGGATCCCGAGGGGATCTCGGTTCTGTGCTGGTGCATCCAGTGCTTCCCAAGGGATCTGGGATGCCCGAGGGATCCGGGATCCTCTCTGGGGACAACTGGGGATCCCCCCTGGATCTGGGGTGTGCTTGGGACCGTGAGGGGCGGCTGTGGGGGTCCCCTGGGGGATTCCCGGCTCTGTCCTGGGACTTCTCCGGGATCGGGATCAGGATCGGGATCGGGACCCCCCGAAGAGAGACCCCACACTCCCATTGGTCCGGGTAGGCCCCGCCCCTTCCCCGCTTCAGCCAATCGCGACGCCGGCACGTGGCGCTGCCGCCGGGGTACCGCCTTCTGATTGGTGGGGAGGCGGGCTCTTTGGAAAGAACGCGTTTTGATTGGCTGAGGGGCGGGCGCCGAGGCAGGGGATTGGCTGGGGCGGGGCAAGGCGGAAGTGGCGCTGATGGCGACATGGAGGTGTGGGGTCGGGACGGGAGCGGGAGCGGGAGCGGGATCGGGGCCGGGAGCGGGGCCAGGGCCGCGTTCGGGGAGCGGGGAAGGGCCCCAGGCCCGGGGCAGCGGGGACAGGCCGTGCCCGGGCGCTGGAGCGGGGGATCTGACCCCTGACCCCGCTCCCGACCCCGGTGCTGCTCCCGGTGCCGCTCCCGGTGCCGATCCCGGTGCCGATCCCGGTCGGGCTCCTCCAGCCCCGCTCCCTGCATGTCCCCCCCGCAGGTCCCTCCCCAGGACTACCGGAACGTGCCCATCGACATCCAGACCGGCAAACTCCTGGGTGCGGTGCGGGAAAGACATCCCGGGATTTTGGGGACCCCTTTGTCCCCTCGGGAGGGAGCCGGGAATTTATCCCAGTGTTTGGGATAAACCTTTCCCTCTTTCCCCTCCAGCCCTTCACAGACCTGGGAATTCATCCCAGTGTTTGGCCCTTACCCCAATCCCCCCTTTCCCCACCAGACCTGGAGAAGATCTGGGAATTCCTCCCTGTCTTTGGCCCCCACCCCGAGCTCCCTTTTCCCTTCCCACGCCTGAGAACGAGCTGGGAATTCCTCCCACTGGAACAGGCAGGGTCTGTGCTCCCTTCCCGCCCCTGGAGCCTGTCTGGGGGGGTCACCCCTGTCTTGTGCCCCCCCGGGTGACCCCCCTGTCCCCCCCTGTCCCCAGACTGGCTCGTGGACAGGCGCCACTGCAGCCTGAGGTGGCAGAGCCAAGTGCAGCTCATCCGGCAGCGGATCGACGGGGCCATCCAGGACATGCCGGAGAACCAGGAGATCAAACAGCTCCTGGAGGGATCCTGTGAGTGACATCAGGGGCTGGATCCCTCGGGAGAGCCGGGAGACGGGCTGGGAGCCTGTTCCCAAGGGTTTGGAGGCGGTTTGGTCTCCCCTGAGCCAGGAGATGGGAGCTGGTGGGGTCGGGAGTTGGGGCTGAGCTGGGAGGGGGTGACACCCCCCGGGCTTCCCGGGGTGATCCCAGACTTCCCAGTGATCCCACTCCACCTCCCCACCCCAGACCTGCACTACTTCCACTGCCTGAGGATCGTGGAGATCCTCAAGGGCACCGAGGCCTCCACCAAGAACCTCTTTGGCCGTTACTCATCCCAGAGGATGAAGGTGAGACGGGGCTGGGGGGGCTCAGCCTTCCTCACCAGCCTCCCCTTCCTCACCCTCCTCATCCTCTGCCTCCTTTTCATCCTTTTTTTCTTCCTGTTCCTTTTTTTCCTCCTTTTTTCCTCCTCTTCCTCCTCACCTTCCTCATCGTCCTCTGCCTCCTCTTCTTCCTCACCCTCCTCACCCTGCTCTTCCTCCCCCCCCAGGACTGGCAGGAGATCGTGGCCCTCTATGAGAAGGAGAACACCTACCTGGGTGAGGCAGGGGGGGCTTGGGGGACTCTGGAGGGACCCTGGGGGGTGGTAGGGGGTGGTCTCCAAACTGGGCTGGGGAAGGGATGGGATGTGCTGGAATTCCAAATCCCGCCGGGATGGAGCTCTGAGGGGTCTGGGACACCCCAAGGCCCGTGTGAGTGGATGGAATTCAGCCTCCAGACTGGGATGGGATGGGCAGGACACAATGGGATGGGACCCCCAGGTTGTGGGACCCCTGAGGACCCCCATGGGTGGGTGGGATCCAGCCCTCAGACTGGGCTGGGGAAGGGACAGGATGTGCTGGAATTCCAAATCCCACCGGGATGGAGCTCTGAGGGGTCTGGGACACCCCAAAGCCCGTGTGAGTGGATGGAATTCAGCCTCCAGACTGGGATGGGACATGATGGGATGGGACCCCCAGGTTGTGGGACCCCCATGGGTGGATGGGATCCAGCCCCCAAACCGGGATGGGGAAGGGATGGGATATGCTGGAATGCCAAATCCCGCCGGGATGGAGCTCTGAGGGGTCTGGGACGTCCCAAGGCCCCTGTGAGTGGATGGAATTCAGCCTCCAGACTGGGATGGGGTGGTCAGGACACAATGGGATGGGACCCTCAGATTGTGGGACCCCCACAGATGGATGGGATCCAGCCCCCAAACTGGGATGGGGAAGGGACAGGATGTGCTGGAATTCCAAATCCCGCCGGGATGGAGCCCTGAGGGGTCTGGGACGCCCCGAGGCCCCCCTGGGTGACCCCCCCTGCCCTGGGTGCCCCCCCAGCCGAGCTCTCCAGCCTCCTGGTCCGCAGCATCAGCTACGAGATCCCGTCCCTGCGGAGGCAGCTTGGGAGGTGCCAACAGGCCCAGCAGGACTTTTCCCGGCGGGAAGAGGAGTGTCAGGTGGGAGCAGCCGAGCTCAGGGAACGGTTCCTGGCCTCCTGCAAACAGTATGGGATCACTGTGAGTGCCTGGGGGGGGCAACACCCCGAAAGCAGCCCCCAGCCCACCCCAAAAGAGCCCCTAAACCCTGAAAACAGCCCCCACAAAATGGTCCCCTACACCTCCGAAAATAGCTCCCACCCCAAAAGAGCCCCAGACCCTCCTAAACAGCCCCATCTCCCCAAAAGGGCTCCCACCTCCCAAAAAACAGACCCAAAACAGCCCCCCCAAATGGCCCCCAACCCCTCCAAAAATAGCTCCCACCCCAAAAGAGCCCCAGACCTTCCAGAAATAGCCCCAAACCCTCCTAATGGACCCATCTCCCCAAAATGGCTCCCACCTCCCAAAAAACAGACCCCAACCCCTGAAAACAGCCCGCCCCCCAAAAAGGCCACTCCCATCCCAAAACAGCCCCCAAACCCTCCCAAACACCCCCTTCCCCCGAAACAGCTCCCACCCTTCAACAACCAGCCCCAAACCCCACAGAACAGCCCCTTCCCACCCCAACCCACCCCTCAAAAGAGCCCCTGACACCCCCAAACAACCCCCTCCCCACCCAGAGCAGCCCCCACCCCCTGTACCTGTCCTGGGGGTCAGACTGGCAGCAGTGTCCCCATGGTGTCCCCATGGTGTCCCCATGGTGTCCCCACTCCCAGGGCAGGAGCTGGGGGGTCCTGTGGTGACCCCACACCCCCCCATGTCCCCGTCCTGCCCCCAGAGCCCCCCGAGGGGGGGTTTTGGCTGCCTGTCCTCCCCTCATGACACGTCCCCCGGTGTCCCCAGGGTGACAACGTGAGGCAGGAGCTGCTGGCCCTGGTGCAGGACCTGCCCTCGCTGCTGTCCCGGGTTGGGGACACTGTGAGGGACCTGGGGGAGGCCATCGAGCTCTACCAGGCCTGCGTGGGCTTCGTGTGTGACAGGTGGGCATGGGGACAGGGGCACGGGGCATGGGGAGGGGGGGACAGACCCCCAGGGACAGGGGGACAGACCTGAGGGACATGGACAGGGGCAGGGACACAGGGGGACAGACCTGGGGGACAGGGATAGGGGCACAGGGATGGGGGGACAGACCCTCAGGGATGGGGACAGGGGCACGGGGACAGGGGGACAGACCCCCAGGGACAGGGGGACAGACCTGAGGGACAAACCCTCGGGGACAGGGAGACAAACCCTTGGGGACAGACCCTTGAGGGCAGACCCTCAGGGACAGAGGGACAGACCCTGAGGGGACAGGGACAGGGGGACAGACCCCTAAGGACAGCTCCTCCTGCCCCCTGTCCCCACCGAGGAGCTGCTCCCCTGTGTGGGGCTCTACGGGTGGGTTGGGTGGTCCCCCCCATCCCTGATGTCCCCCCGTGGTGTCCCCAGCCCCAATGACCCTGTGATGTCTCAGGATGATCCCCCCCATCCCTGCTGTCCCCTCCCCATGTCCCCAGCCCTGCTGAGCCTGTGATGCCTCACGGTGGTCCCCTCATCCCTGATGGGGTGGTCCCTCCATTCCCAGCTCCCTGGAGCTGTTCCCCCCCAGCCCATGGTGTCCCCAGCCCCAATGACCCTGTGATGCCTCAGGGTGGTTCCCCCATCCCTGATGTCCCCCCCATGGTGTCCCCAGTCCTGCTGAGCCTGTGACACCTCAGGATGTCTCTCCCATCCCTGATGTCCCCCCATGGTGTCTCCAGCCCCAATGACCCTGTGATGTCTCAGGATGATCCCCCCATCCCCGCTATCCCCCTCCCCGTGTCCCCAGCCCCAGTGAGGCTGTGATACCTCGGGATGGTCTCTCCCATCCCTCCTGTCCCTCTCATCCCTGGTGTCCCCCCCGCAGTGTCCCCAGCCCCAATGACCCTGTGATGCCTCAGGGTGGTCCCCCCATCCCTGATGTCCCCCCCATGGTGTCCCCAGCCCTGCTGAGCCTGTGACACCTCAGGGTGGTCTCTCCCATCCCTGATGTCCCCCCATGGTGTCTCCAGCCCCAGTGAGGCTGTGATGCCTCAGGGTGGTCCCCTCATCCCTGATGGGGCGGTTCCCCCATCCCCAGCTCCCTGGAGCTGTTCCCCCCAGCCCTACTGAGCCTGGGGGGGATGCCTCAGGATGATCCCCCCCCCATCCCTGCTGTCCCCCCCATGTCCCCAGCCCCAATGAGGCTGTGATGCCTCAGGGTGGTCTCTCCCATCCCCTCTGTCCCCCCTGGTGTCCCCAGCCCCAGTGAGGCTGTGATGCCTCAGGGTGGTCCCTCCATTCCCAGCTCCCTGGAGCTGTTCTCCCCCAGCCCGTGGTGTTCCCAGCCCCAATGACACTGTGATGCCTCAGGATGATCCCCCCCTATTCCCCCTGTCCCCCCCTGTGTCCCCAGCCCCTCCGAGGCGGTGCTGCCTCAGGATGATCTCTCCATCCCTGCTGTCCCCCTCCCCGTAACCCCAGCCCTGCTGAGCCTGTGACACCTCATGGGGTCTCTCCCATCCCCTCTGTCCCCCTCCGTGGTGTCCCCAGCCCGTCGGAGGCGGTGGTGCCCCTGCTGAGGCACGTGTGTGCCCGGGGGAACAGCACGGTGCAGGAGTGGAGGACGGGCCGGGAGCCGCGGCGGGTGGAGCGACCGGAGCTGCGGGAGGAGGAGCCGGAGCCGCCCCGGGAGGACACGGTCAGACCCCTCCGAGGGACCCCAAATTCCTCTGCGGGGCTTTGTCGGGGTCCAGCCGTTCCGAGGTTTCAGCGGGGTCCTTCCCACAGATCGACTGGGGGGATTTCCCGCTGGATTCCCCCCCGGGAGGGGATGGAGGAGCTGCCGAGGGGGGCGAGGAGATCGACTGGGGGATCACGGTGGAGCCCGGTCCTCAGGTGTGTGACACCCCCCTCCCCACTGGGATTGCCCTGCTCCGGGGGCCTGGGGGTGTCCTGGGCCCCCTCCATGTCACCAAGTGCCCCAACTCCACCCAAACCTTCCTAAACAGCCCCAAAACCCTCCTAAACAGCCCCCAAACCCCCCTAAACAGCCCCCAAACCCCCCTAAAGAGACCCCAACCCCCCCTAAAGAGACCCCAAACCCTCCTAAACAGACCCCTTCTCCCCAAAACAGCTCCCACCCACCAAAACAGCCCCTAAACCCTCCTAAACAGCCCCTAAATCGTCCCAAACAGCCCCTTTCTCCCCAAAACAGCCCCCACCCACCAAAACAGCCCC